TCCCATTACAAGAACATCTACTCCATGATCCATTAATTCTCCAAGTGGAGAACCACTTCCAGTTTTTCGTGCTTGTTTACCATCAAGAGTATCAAATAATACATACATGTAAAACAAAAGACCATTAATAAGATGTGTAAATGATCCAAATACATTACTTAAATAAACAGTAAATAATGCTAATACAATAAATATTCCACCACTTGTTGTAATTACATTTGGTGCAATCCATTTTGGTACTAAATGATTCATAACTGGACTAATAATAAAATCTTGATAAAAGTATTTCCCTACAATAGAATTATCAATAGCTTGATATTTATAATCCTTTAATGTTTCAAGTGATTTCTCGGGAAAGAATGGACATTTTAAACTAAAGTCATGTACAAAATTTAATAAATAATTCATTTCTTTTTATTCTTTTTTAGTTCATCCAATTTTAATATGAATGAAACAGGACTTTTTCAACATGCCTTTGTTGTTTATGGAGGTTTTTATTTTTCAATTTAATAATTATTTATTCTAATTATTATTATTTTAATTGATACATTTTGGTTTTTATTTGAAACTATTTTATTTATTAATTTGATTGTTTTTTAATTCTTGTTTAAAAAAAAATTCATGATATTAGAATAATTATTTGTTGTTTCTCATTTCTTTCTAGAGTTTTGTGTTAAATTTATTTTGTACCTCATTTTATATTCATTAAACAAACTTAAAAATTAGATAATGAAATGTTAATAAAACTGTTATTTATTCATTAATGAATATTAATCACATAATACGTCATTAAAATGAGTAATTTATTTGTTTTATTTATTATTTAGTTTTTCTTTTTGTTTAAGTGGACACTTAAAAAGATGGAATGAGTCAAAAAGAGTAGATAAAACTACTACAATTAAAGCATGGAAGTCCATCAATATTAAAAAGAATGCATTTCTCCAATTAACTAAAATGCAAGATGGAGCAATATTTTGTGGGTATAGAAAAACAAAAATAATGAAAAATGAAAGATTGAAATACTGCACACTTTGTAAAGACAAGATAGCAACAGTAGAACACATTCTACTATCTTGTATTTATCATAAAAAATCACAAATAGAAAAACATGACAATATTGGCATTATAATATTGGAGGGATTAATAAGAAAATATACAGGAAATAATCAATATAAAAAACCCCTATATGAAACAATGTTCCAATATAAAGAAATTACAATGATATGGAACAAACAAATAATGCCTAAAAGTGATGGACAATATCACAAAAGACCAGACATATATGTATTAGATAAAAAGAATAAAACTGTTCTATTATTTGATAAGACTATTGTTGCTGATCACAATATTAATGGAGCCTATTGGAAGAAAAGAAATATGTATAAGGAATTAAAGAATATTCTAATGAAAATAGAGAAAATAAAAGATGTCAAAATAATTCCAGTAGTAATCTCAATAAATGGATTAATGAATAAAGAAAGTAATAAATTAATTAAAGAATTAAAAATTGACATTGACATCGAGAAAGAAATTAAAAACCTTGTCATAAAAAACATGATGAATGTCATTGAATACTGCTTTTATCACAACTAAACATACTCTGTAGAGATACTAGAAGATTTATTGATTGGATTACTCTCATCCAATAAGGGAACAATAGAAACCAGTTCTATTAATACTTATTTAATTGACTTTTATTGTTTTTTCGTTCTTCTTTCATTTTATCTTCTTCTTGAATTTTATTTAAATAACATCTTTCTTTATTTCCTTCTTTTATGAATGAATATTTCATTATTATATTATTATGTATAGTTTCATTTATTATTAATATCATCATTTATATCTTTTTCTTTTCTTATTATTATTTCATATTATTTTATTTCATTCTTTATATTATTATTAATTATATTTATTATTAAATTACTTCATCATATTCAATTATTATTTGATTTTTCATTATTTGATTTTGTATTCATATTTGTGTGTTGTTTCTTATTTTCATTATTCATTTCTTAACAAACATAAAGAAATAAATAATATTGATAAAACACATGAAAATTCAAATCACAAAAGATGAAATAATAAAAATAAAACAGAATTGAATCTTCTTCTCTTCAATTTTTTTTGTTAATTTTAAAAAAAAATGAAAAAATATTAAAAATAAAATAAACTAATTATAGAAAATAACAATATTATAATTTTATTATTATTATATTATTAATATTATTATATAATTATTGTTATTGTAAAAATAAAATGAATGATGTTTGTTAAAATATAATGATGTTAAAAATAACATTTGATTTGATGTTAATAACGTGGATTAACTATTTAAACATTCATATTTTGAACTTATAAACATCAATTTAAATTAAAATGGAAGAGTTAATAAACAAGAATAACCAATTAATTAAAGAAGTAGTAGAAACACTTCCAAATATTCAACAATCAATTGATGATACTACTAAGAATTATCAATATTATATAGGAAGTATTAAAAATGAAGTATTTAAAATAAAAGAGAATGAAACATATGAACAGGCAATTAAAAGAGGAGAAGGAATATTTGATAGGATTGATGAAACAGAAAGAAGAAGAAAACTAGTGATAGAAAAAAGTCAAGAAACAATCAACAAAATAGAAATAATGAAGAATAAAATGACAAGAATCATAGAAGAATGTAATAATGATGAAGAAACACTAA